CGACCTGCCTTACAGACTTTGGATTTGCCAGCCCCCCCCGCCCAGTCATGAGGCAGTTCCTTAAAATGAATCTGTACACACACACACACACACACACGTCCTATTGGCTCTGTTTTTCTGGAGAACCCTGACTGATGGAGTAAAATCTGAAATTTGGGAAACACTTAAATGCACGAGAGAGGAAAGGGTTTTCTTTTCTTTTTTCGTTTTAAGATTTTATTTTCAAGTAATCTGTACACGCAATGTGGGACTCAAACTCAAAACAATTAGGAATCACATGCTCCACCTACTGAGCCAGCCAAGCATCCCAGGAAGGTGTTTTCTTAATGATAAAGTCAATACTGAAATGAACGTGCACAACCCATACCCAGAGGGATGTGCAAATGAGCCCTTCAGTGCAAGATAGAAGCCTACAATTCTCAACAAACACTTGGGTGCCCCTAGGGGACAGGTGTCCTAAAGTCCATAAAGCCAAGCCTTGGAAGCATCTCCTCTCTCCCCTGTGGTTTACAGTCAAGACACTAAAATGGGAGGGGTGGGGGAGGGCAGCTCTTACCGTCACTACGCTAGTATCTTAATGCCCTGGGGGAGATGCTTCCTGGTTTTCATAAAAGCTGGTATTTGAATGAACAGTGCCATGCCACAGCCCCGTTCTGGCTTGAATCATGCCCCCTCAAAGAGCTATGGAAGTCCTCGCTTCCACGACCTGTGAATGTGACCTTACTTGGGAATAGGGTCTTTGCAGATGATTGAGTGTAGAAGTCACTGAGAGTGGGCCCTGTTCCAACAGGACTGGTGTCCTCATCAACTTTGGGGGGATTTGTACACAGAGACAGGAAGGACAGAGAGAAGGTGATGTGCATATGGAGGGTACCAGCCAGTGGCAGCTGAGCAGAGAGCTGGGGAAGAGGCCCAGCACCAGCTCTCCCACTGGCCTCGGAAGGAACCAGCAGGTGGCCCATTGCTGTTGCTCCGGCTGCTTGTTACAGCAGCCCCAGCAAACTACTAGAGCACCCCACTGCAATGAGACTCGGCCAGAGAACGCGAAGAGAAGGAGGCGCAAACAAATGCTGAAATGCAGAGAGAAGAGGCTTTCTTTTCTTAGGAAGATGCCAAGGACGTAAAGGCGCCACGCTCCATCCCTGACTCCAGGCTTGGGGGCAGACTCGGGGGCAGCCCTGACCACCCATAAAGACTCCTTAGATGCCTGCCCCCCACCTCGGCCACACAGGGGACTCCCCAGTGACAGAAGCACGGAGGTGGAAGCCCATTTCTTCCCGATAGTAAACCTTGAGACCCGGGCTCAGGAAACATCTGTTTATTCCAAAAAATACCAGGTTGTCACTCCGCCGCTGTCCTCACCAAGGGACTGGGGGAAGAGTTTGGTGCTGGGCAGGGAGAGGGAGGGATAAAGAAGCTGTGGAGAGTCTTCTGGTCCAGAACTGGTTATCTTCTCTCTGCAGCCCTCCCCCACCCCTCCCCACAACGGGGTGTGTGTGTGTGTGTGTGTGCGTGCCGCGCGTGCCGGTTTATCAGGGGGCGGAAGACTCAGATGGTGAGGTCCCAGCTCTGGAAGCATCGAGGGAGATTAGGCAGGACAAGCCCACTTCCTCACCCCCTTGAGACCTCTCCCCACTATGGCTTATTTGAGATCAGAGGTCAAGGCCCCAAGGTCAGGCAGCCTGTGGCAGAGTGAGTGGGGGGAGGGGAACAAGATACCTGGAATCCAGGCCAGGAGACGGCAAGTCGTGGGGGGTGTACGAACGCTGAAAGGCCCCAAGCCCCTGTATTCCAGGGCGGCTGGGGAAAGCCGAGTGCTCAGTGGGGATGGTGAGCAGAGGGAACTGGGCGTGAGAGGGGGCAGGCGCTCAAGCTGGCTCCTTTCTGGGGGCAGTCACAGTCGGCCTGAGGGGCGCTGGGCTTGGGGAGGCCCTGGATGGGACTGGGGGGAGCCCACAGGAGCAGCTAGAAGCATGGGCACGGGGCCCAGGTAGATTGGGGTAGCTCCCCAGTTCCCCTGGGTGCTGGGAGCTGAGGGCATTATCTGCCCCAGGCTCTGACGAGAAGGGGTGCGCTGAGGTGCCAGTATTTGGAGGGAGACAGAAAAGGGAGGGGGACGGCCCAGAGGAGGGAGAAGAACCCCCTCACCTTGCCTTGGGGGCTGGGGAGGGGGTATGTAGCCCTTTAAGAGTGGGGGAATGGCCGCCCCCCTGCAACATGGCTATATACAAAGAGAATTGGGGCAAATTGTGCATTGGGTATTGAGGAATCCCCAAAACCCCTGGAGGCTCCCTGGTGTGTGAGGGGGAGATGAGAGAATGCTGCTTCTCCCCCATCTTGAGATGATGCAGAGCAACCCCCCCATGGCCGTGGCGGTAGCCGTGGCCCTCCAGATGTGCCTGCTCCAGGACCAGGCCAGCAGAAGACATGAGTGAAGGCCTCAGGGAGGTCAGCAGCTGTCCAGCAGCCCATGGGGTCTCTGAGGAGAGTTTGGCCCAAGCCAATGGAGTGCTGTTTCGGGTGGGGGTCCAGGTCACAGGGGCAGTGATGTCACCTGAGGACTGTGAAGCCCATCCCACTCCTCCCCCATGATGATAAAAGTTTTCTGTGTTGACCCTGTCACCGATGAGATGGGTGAAGGGTGGTGAGTTATTAGGAGGGGCCTGGATGCCCTCACCACGGGGCGATGGAGTCTGGCCGAGACCAGGTCTGTGGTGGGGTTGATGCAGGCATCAGCTCAAGTCAGGAGGGAGGCAGTGACATCATTAAGAAGGGGCTAAGGATGATGTCATCGGAGGGGCCCCCACCTATTCCCTTTTTGAAGGAATGGGAAAATGGTGTGTGTTGTGCTAGTTGCCCTTAAGGGAACAGTTATAGGTGCCATGGGGCCCCAGAAAACAATTGAAATACAGCCATTGTAGTATTTGACACTCAAGATGATGGATCCTGGAAGATAATGATGCATGGTTGAAGTGGATCCTAGTACATGACATATTTTGGTGTCATGGATCCTAGGAGGTGATGATGCTATGGTTATGGTGGATCCTGGTAGATGATGACACCATGGTTGAAGTGGATCCTGGGAGGTGATGACACCGTGGTTGAAGTGGATCCTGGGAGGTGATGACCCCATTGGTTCTCATGGTTCCTGGGAGGTGATGACATCATGGTTGAAGTGGATCCTGGGAGGTAATGACACCACAATTATCAGGGACTATGGGAAATGGTGGCATCATCAGTACTAGTGGATCCTGGTAGAGGATGTTACCATCAGCCATAGAGGATTCTGGAAGGTAATGACATAATATGTCATGGTGGATCCTAGGAGATGATGATGATACAATGGTTGTGGTAGATCCTGGGAGATGAAGACACCATAGGTCATAGGGAATCCTGGGAAATGATGTCATCATCAGGCATGGTTAGCCTTTGACCCCAGGTACAATGCCATCATGAGTGGTGGAAGTCTTATGGTACTGATGATATCATCAGCAAAATTAATAGTGGGCACACCCCAACCAACCCCATCCCACCTCACCCCCAACAGGAAGCCAGGAGTTTGTTCACAAAGGCGACGATGTCTCTATGGCAGAAAGACGTGACACCAGCCTTTGGGCCACTATGAGTCCCAGGACTCTGGGAGGCTGGTGGGCCAGAGTGGCCTCCTTGGGAGCAGAAGCCAGTCTGGGAGTCCTGTCCTCCAGGACTCACACAGGAGGTGACACAGGGTGGGATCTGAGGCCCAACCACCCTTTAGAGGGAGGGTCTGGTGGAGATCCTGCAGAGCATGTCCCTGGTGTCAGGGAAAGGAGTGACCAAGTAAAGTCATGGCAGGACAAGGCAGAAACTCTGGTGACATCATCACAAGTGATGGCCCTCCAGAGCAGGCAGTGTCTCTGGTGATGACATCACAGCATTGGGACAGAACCTCAGTGGGGGCCCGTTGCTAACAACCTACAGTCAGACCATTCATCCCGATGGAGACCTCTGCAGTTGGGGTTGCCTCCCCAGTGATGCCATTTCCTCAGACAACTCCTCAGGTCAGAGCACTTTCTCTGGTGACCCCAGGGTTGCCATGGATTTGGGGCATGCCCTGTCTTCTCATGACCTGGCATGGAGGTGTCTTAGAGCATCACCCCAGGACAGGCAGAGTCCAGAGGTGAGATCACAGAAGCGGGCTGTCATCCCTGGTGATGATAGCATGGGAAGAGGCACAGTCCCTCTGATCATGTCATAGGGCAAGGCACCTTCTCTGGAGATGGCATCACAGGAAGGAGGCAAAGTCCCTGTGACAGTGTTGTGGAAAGGTCCTACGTATAGGGAGGACACAGTTGGCAAGACCTTTCCCCTGCAATGTGTCCCAGGAAGATGGCTTTGTCTGTAGTGACAACATCATAGACAGAGACATCTTCTCTGGAAGAGAACATTTTCCTGGTGGTGATGATGTCAAAAGAGGCCTTTTGGTGCCAGACATGACATCATCTGAGTGAGATGTGTCTCTGCAGTGACATTCACAGGAAGGAATCTTTGTCTCTAGGGATGATGTCATAGGACAAGGCATTGTCTCTGCTGTGACATCACAGGGAGAAAGTCTGTGATGACTTCGTGGAACAGAGACATGGCCTCTAGCGATGACCTCAGGGGCGGGCCTATTCCTCTGTGATGGATTCATGGGAAGAAAGTTTTGTCCCTGTGATGACATCACAGAACACAGACATTTTCACTAGTGATGACCTCACAGGCAGGGCTCTTCCTCTGTGATAACGTCATGGGAAAGAGGCCTTGCCTCAAACAGTGACATAGGAGAAGGGGTCTGATCTACCATGACATCCCAGAAGGAGGTTTTGTCTCCGGTGACGATTTCATCCAAAGCAGTGTCCTTGGAGGCAGCCCCCTGCCCACAGGCTGATCCTGGGTCCCAGGCCCCTAGAGTGTGTTGGGGGATCCAGGCTGGGATGGGGGCCGGCGAGGCCGCAGCCCCCAAGCCCCCGGGCCTGGCCTCAGACCGTCACCTCATTCTTGCTGGCGGTGCGCAGGTGTTGGGGCAGGTGATGGCCGGGGATGAACTGCAGTTGCTCCAACGTGCCCTGGCGCTGGAAGGGTGGCCTGCGTGCCAGCGTGCCCCCTCCCCCGCCGGCGTCCGACATCCAGGCAGGCTGCGGGGAGCCGTGCAGGCCGTGGTGGTGGTGCGCGTGCAGGCCGGGCGGGGGGGGCAGCCCGTGCAGCGGCGTGGGGGGGCCCCCGGGTCCTAGCAGCAAGTTGGAATGGGACGCGGCCAGGCTCGCGCGGGCGGCAGGCTCCGGGGGCAGCGCGGGGCTGCGCGGGGGCGACAGCAGGTGCTCCCGGCTCTGGCGCAGGGCCTCGGGCGACGACAGGAGCAGGTGCTCTTGCGACACAAGGCGCGCGCGCGGCAGGGTGAATTCATAGCGCGACCGGCCTCCGTCGCCCAGCAGGTGCTCCTGGGACATGACCCGCCGCGGGTTGGGCGCGGGCGCCAGGCCCAGCTCCTCAGGGCCGCCCCAGGCATCCATGCGGTAGCCGCCCCCCGTGCCGGGTCGCCGAAGGGCATGCAGGGGCAGCGTCCCGCGGGGTATCTCCGCCAGGTGCCTGCGCTTCAGGTAGGCCTCGTCCAGATCCTTCTCAGCTGGGGGAAGGGGGGAAAAGCCATAGAGGTAAGTCCTCAGCCAGCCCAGAACCTCCCCCATCCCCTGGCCTCGGTACATCCCACCCCCATGAGGACCCCAGACATCACAAGAATGCCCTGGTCATTAGCCTGGGAACAGGTGGGTGAGTCCCACATTGCAATCAGTCAAAACAATCAGGCTAGCTATGTAACCAAAATGCAGATTCCTAGGCCCCACACACGATGGTAGGCCGGTAGATGTGGGGCGACTTGCTTTTTTTTCCCCCCAGACTTGGAGATGTGACCTATTCATGGGTTATGAAGTCAGTTTTGTGGATGGTGACTGGCATTTTGAAAATGAAATAGAATAAAAAATTATCAGAAAGCATCCACACAGGAGCACCTGGCCGGCTCAGTCGGTAAAGCATCCCCATCTTCATCTCCGGGTCCTGAGTTGAGCCCCATATTGGGTGCAGATATTACTTAAAAAAATCAATTAAAAAAAAAGATTAAGGGCGCCTGGGTGGCTCAGTTGGTTAAGCGACTGCCTTCGGCTCAGGTCATGATCCTGGAGTCCCGGGATCGAGTCCCGCATCTGGCTCCCTGCTCCGCGGGGAGCCTGCTTCTCCCTCTGACCCTCTTCCCTCTCGTGCTCTCTATCTCTCATTCTCTCTTTCTCTCAAATAAATAAATAAAATCTTTAAAAAAAAAAAAAGATTAAGGGAGGTGGTGGGGAAAAAGATTTTTAAAAGTTATATAAAAAAGAAAGTATCTAAGGGTGCCTGGGTGGCTCAGTTGGTTAAGCGTCTGCCTTTGGTTCAGGTCATGATCCTGAGGTCCTGAGATTGAGTCCCCCATTGGGCTCCTTGCTCAGTAGTGAGCCTGTTTCTCCCTCTCCCTCTGGTGCTCCCTCTGCTTGTGCTCTCTCTCTCTCTCTGTCAAATAAATAAAATCTTAAAAAAAAAAAAAAAAAGAAAGCATCCACATATTAGGGGAACAAGGGTGAGTACCAGTTCATAAAGTTTTTATTTCAGTTAATTTGTGTTGTGGAAATATTAATGGATGCAGTGACAATATCTAGGGTTTGTTTTAAAATAATCCAGCAAAGAGATGCCTGAGTGGCACAGTGGGTTGAGCGTCTGGCTCTTGGTTTCCACTCAGATCCTGATTTCAGGGTTGTGGGATTGAGTGCCGCCCGTGTCAGCTCCGCACTGAGCTTGGAGTTGGCCTGAGATTCTTTCTCCCTCTACTCCTCCCCACTCTCTCTCTCTGTCTCAAAATAAATCGGTCTTCAAAAAAAAGTAAAACCGGGTGGGGGGATGGGTTAGCCTGGTGATGGGTATTAAAGAGGGCACATATTGAATGGAGCACTTGGGTGTTATATGCAAACAATGAATCATGGAACACTACATCAAAAACTAATGATGTAGGGCGCCTGGGTGGCTCAGTCGTTCAGCGTCTGCCTTCGGCTCAGGTCATGATCCCAGGGTCCTGGGATTGAGCCCCACATGGGGCTCCTTGCTCAGCAGGGAAGCCTGCTTCTCCCTCTCCGACTCCCCCTGCTTGTGTTCTCTTGCTGTCTGTCTCTCTGTCAAAAAATGAATAAAAATCTTAAAAAGAAAACTAATGATGTAATGTATGGTGATTAACACAACATAAAATTTAAAAAAAAGTAAAAAAAAATGAAATAATCCACCAAAAACTGGGGCGAAGGGAGTATAGATTAACAAAATGTTGCTCATTTTAAGCTGAGTGATGTGAACATGGGGATTCATTTTACGATTTCCTCTAATGCTGGGTATGTTTGAAAAAGTTCATAATAACAAGTTTCACGTTTTTCCTGTAATTAAAAAATATGCATATATACATGTGTCTCATGGGTGATAATATAAAAAGCATTTCTTAATATGGCTCTCAATTTAAAAATGTTTGAAGGCTACTGCCACTGACCCAGAAATGTCCGGAGTCACAGTGATTGGTTCAGGGACAAGCATGTGAGCCAGTCTGGGCCAGTAGGCTCCAGACCTGGGATTTTTGCTGGAATCATTGGGAAAGACGCTTTTCTGCTGATAGAATGGTACCCTGAAATTCCTCAGGTCAGTCTTTGCCACCACTAAGGAAGGATCTGTCTGAAAATGAAGCCAGCCCATCATTTACCAGAGCTGAGACATACAGAATCCTGGAGACAGCTTTTGAGCTCCTGGATCCAGCCATACCTGAAGCATATGATTCAGAGACTTTCCATTATCCAGCTAATGTAGTTGCCTTTTTAAATTTTTTTTTTTTTTTGCTTAAGTTGTATTTCTGCTAATTGTAAATACAGGTCCTGATGAATACAATAGATCTTAAGAGAGCATGAATCTGCATTTTTAAAAAGCACCTTCGGTGTCACATTAAGAGAAGGAAGGGAAAAATGAAGGGGGGGAATCCGAGGGAGAGATGAACCATGAGAGACTATGGACTCTGAGAAACAAACTGAGGGTTTCAGAGGGGAGGGAGGTGGGGGGATGGGTCAGCCCGGTGATGGGTATTACGGAGCACACGTACTGCATGGAGCACTGGGTGTTTTACGAAAACAATGAATCATGGAACGCTACATCAAAAACTAATGATACATGGTGACTAACATAACATTAGAAAAACAAAACAAAACACCCTCAGTGTCAATTGGGCCACTCTCCAACCATTCCGAACCCAGGCCCTGGCTCTTCACCCCACCCCATTGCCTGTGCCCCTCCCCTTCCTGGGACTCACCCAGTCTCTTCAGGGAGGAGTAGCGGTTGAGTTCGGACTTTACAGCAGCCTCATAAGACGGGGGCAGATGCGAGAGGTTGTGGAAGGACCGTGAGCAGGAGAGCGTGGAGTAGTGCAAGGAGGGGCTGGGTGGTGGAACGGCGCGCCAATCTGCGGCAGAGGGGCATGGCAGGGGTGAGCCCAGCCCCTCCTCCCTCAGACCCAGCAGTTCCAGCCCCCAGCCCCTTAGGGAGTGGAAACCAGGGACTCCAGCCCCTCAGAGCACCAGCAGTCCAGGAGCCCTGTATTCATTCCCCCACCTCAGGAGACAGGCTCGTTGCTGGGGCAGCAGGTCATGTCACAAGAAGAGCGGCAGCTAGCTCTTGCTCGGCACCTGCTGTGTGCCTGGCCCCAGGCTGGAGGGGCAGTCCACTCCATTCATCTTCCCACCAACCCAGGTGTGAGGGGGATGACCACTTCTGGTGTTCAAACTGGGAAGCCGAGGCTAGCTTGGTTACCTGGCTAGACTGGGGGGGTCAGGGCTCACAGGTCTCATGCCTGCTCTGTCCTGGGCCCCCAGCTCAGGCTCAATACAAGGCAGGGAAGGAAAGGAGCCTTGTCCTCCCCATAGCCCAGCCCTAGTCCGTACCCATCGTGGTGGCATGGTGCTTGGGGCTGTTGACGTTGAGGTGCAGGTAGTTGTGGTGCAGATTATCTGTGGGGACCAAGAAGAGAAGTGGTGTCACTGTCATCACTCACTCCCAGCTGGTGCTGCTGTCCTGGTCTTGCGGAAGGATTTCCACTCACGTCCACTTGGTCCCCAGCTCTGACCCCTGCTGCCTCCTGAATCTCTGCTCTGACCTGCCTCTCCCTCCTGGACCATCAGATCGGCCTTCTGGCCATCTGGCTAGCCCCCTCTTCAAGATCAGCCCCCCAGGGTAGTATTCCTGACACCCACACTTGCCCCTGCCCTTGCCCCTCTGCTGTTGCAAACTCTTTCCATGTCTGGCTGTCACCCACAGGACAAAATCTAAGCCAGGAATTACTTGGCTTAGACTGGCTCCAGCTGATGCCTTGCCTGAAGGAGCCTAGTTCACTCCTGCCACGGGGCCTTTGCACATGTTGTTATGCTATTCTCTCCGCCTTGAATTCCTTCCTCTCCTTCTTTGCCTGAAGACCTGCTACCCACCCCTCAAGATCCACCTCAAATGTCTCCTCCTTATTACTACTATTCAAACCCACCTTTCCCCCTCCATTTCTGACCCCAGTGCAGGCCCTTGTCCAGCCTGGAGTACCATCCACCCTCCCCCTGAGCCTTCTTCGTCTCATCCCTCCCCCTTCACATGGGTTCCAGAAAAATCATTCTTCCACTCACTTCTGACTTTGTTCCCCTCCCTGCTCTAAACTCGACCGTGGCTTCCCGCTGCCATCAGGACAAAGGCAGAGCTCCTCAGCCCAGCCTGGTGCTCAGGTCCTCCCTGAGGTGTCTGCACACCCTCTCCCTGGCCCGTAAACTCTGCTTCAGCCACCCAGAGCTCCGTTGGCCCAAGTAACCCCCTCACCCTCCAGGCCACTGCTCAAATAGCATTTCCTGGGGGAAGACTTCCTCCTCCTCTAACCCGTTCCAGCTCCCTGGGCTTCTCCACTGATGAACTCATCATAAAATAGAAGAACACTAATAACTGCTCCTATTTGTATGGCGCTTTTTCTGTGTGAGGCATTGCTCTAAGCCTTCGGTCATTGATTTACTTGACCTTCATGATAACCCTTGTGAGGTGAGTGCTATTGTGCTCTTGGTTTCATGGGCAAGGACACTGAGGCCCAGACAGGTGAAATGGTTTGCCCCAGGTCAGCGGTGGCAGAGCCAGGATTCAGACCCAGGCTCTCTGGTTCAGGACACCTTCTAATGCAGTTATTAGGTACTTTCTTGTGAGTTTCTTGTGAACTGTTGGGAGCTCAGACACGGACTTTCTCAAGTGCAGGGGCTGAGAATGTATAAATTTAAATCACCCTGGCGTCCATGGCACCCACCCGTAATGGTTCAGAGATGGCTGAGGCCGGTGGATGGGGCTAGGGGCAGGGCCTGGGCAGCGGGAGGTGGGGCTATCCGGGGAGGGCGGGGCTGGAGGACTGGGGGCGGGGCCTGGGCTGCGGGAGGTGGGACTATCCGGGGAGGGCGGGGCTAGAGGACTGGGGGCGGGGCCTGGGCAGCGGGGAGGTGGAACTAGAGGCCTGGGGGCGGGGCCTTGGCAACGGGGAGGCGGGGCCATATGGGAGGGCGGGGCTACAGGAATGGTGGGAGTGACCAGAGGCAGCAGCAGCAGCCCCAACTCCCAGGTCCCACTCACCAAGATTGGAGGGCTTCACGGTGTTGTAGAGGTTCTTGGGCGTCCTCGGGGGAATGCTGTCGGGGCCTCCGACCCCTGGGGTCAAGGAGCTGCTTCGTGCCCGGTCCGGGCGGGTCCCAGGCCCCGCCTGATGCCTCAGAATGTCCACCAGAGCCCTAGAGGTGGCAGAGCGACGGTCAGCGGCCTGGGGACGGGGGTGGGGGCAGGGAGAGGGAGGGCCCAGGCTTCTTTTCCCTCCCTGTTCTCCCTCTGGGGGAGTCTGTCAGTTCGCCCCGGGCTCCTTGCCTTTGGCCACGCCCATCGCTAATGTCAATCTGAGCGCCGCCCACCCTAAGGTTCCTCCCACCGCATTTCTTGCTTGAAACAGCCCCTTCCTCAATTCATTTGGACCCAACGCCCCTGTGGTCCTTCCCACATCGTCCCCCCTGGGCACCTGCCCCACCCTGAACTTGGGACCTCACTCCCGTTCCTTTTACAGCCGTCCCATGGTGATAAAGTGTGCTCCGTTCGTCCGGCTATGCGACCGAAAACCTTAGAATCACCCCTGACTCCTGTTGTTCTTTCATGCTCCTCAGCAGTCTCGCAGATTCGACCTCCAAAATAAATCCCCAGCGGGACACTTCTCACCACCAGTGCTGCTCCCGGTACCTGCTCTCACGTGGCTCATTGCTAGTGTCCTAACGGTCTCCCGCTTCCACCCCTGTCCCCTGCAGTCCGGCCGCACACATGCAGCCCAGGGACTCTTGAAATTATCAGATGGCTTCGCGCCGGAGCTCAGGGCTCTCTAGAGGCTCCCCCATCACTCTCAGAATAAATCTGCTCCACGCCCACTGCTCTGTAGTTTCATGGGCCCCTTCACTGTCCTGCAAGTACTCCCACCAGGGCCCTTGCACTCGCTGTTCCCTCTGCCTGGACTGCCCTTCCCACAGATCCCTGCTTGGCTTGCTCCTTCCCCTCAGGTCTCTGCTCCAGGGCCCTTTCCTGACCTCTTCGCATAAAGCAACACCTTCGGCCCCCACTCTCTACCTGTTATGCTGCTTTCTTTTCTTCACAGCGGTTATCAATACCTAAATTTATATTGCATATGTGGTTGCTTGCGTACTCTCTCCACCACTAACGTTTAATGATAATGGCAGCCAACATTTATTGAGGGCTTACCATGTGCCAAGACTCGACATGAATCAGTTCAGTTAATCTTCGTTACAGTCTGAATGGATGGGGAACAGTTATTAGGCCCATTTTACAGGCAAGCAAACGGAGGGACAGGCCCAGGGTCACGCAGACCGCAGGCAGCAGACCTGGGGTTGGAAGTCGGGTTTACCCAGCAGGGCAGGGATCTTGTTTTTTCACTGCTGTATCCCCAGCTGCCGACCACAGAAAGTGCTCAAAAAATAATTTGTTGGACGAATGAAGGCCTGAGCCTCACCCGTCACTCCGCAGCCAGGCCCGTTCTGTCGCCTATCCCTAGGGCCCGCCCATATCCCTAGGCTTACGCGCCTAGGCTCGCGGTGGAAGCCTCCTGCGTCTCTGAACCTTGTACAGGCACCCCTGTAGCCACGCCCTCGCCAGCTGGCTCCACGTCTCACTGCCCAGGCCCCGCCCCCAGGCCCCACTCAGCTAGGGCCCCAGCGCTCACGTACCTGGGCACGTTGATCTCCCGATGCGCCCTGGGCGCACGGGACGCCTTGCTGAAGGCCACTTTGGCGCCGACGCCCACCGCCAGGGCGAAGCTGATGACCCCGCACACCACGTAGGCCGTGCTGCCCCCGGGGCCCTCGCCCCCGCGCCCCCCTGCACCCCCCGCCCGGCCCCCTTCCAGCCACCCCGCCTGGCCGGGCCCGGGCCCCCCGCCCACACCCCCAGCACCCCCGACGCCCCCGGCCAGCGGCGGCGGCGTGGTGGCCCAGCGCGGCGTGTCGTAGTTGGAGCAGGAGGCCTGCGCCAGGCGCATGTGGCGATGCTCGCAGCAGAAGCGGTAGTGGCAGGTGCCGCAGCAGAAGCGGTAGGAGCCCGTGCTGCAGTTGAAGGTGGCGTCGTACTGGCCCATGACGTCGTAGTAGCCATGGCAGAGCTCGGCGGGAGGGGGCGCCCGCGCCGCCGCGCCTGTCCCGCTCGCGGGGCTGGTCCTGGTGCCGTTGGCGCCCGGGCCCGCAGCGCCCCCGCCGCCGGTCAGCGCCCCGGTCAGGCGCCGCAGGTGCGCCAGCAGGGCGGGCAGCGGGCCCGGGGGCTCGGCACTTGTGGCGTTGGACGGGCGCGCCCCGGCCTGGCGGGCGGTCGAGGCCAGGAGCAGGAGGGTCCCGAGGAGCAGGAGGGACGGCATGGGGCGCGCAGGAGGTCGGACGGGGCCGCCAGGCTGGGGGGAGAAACAAGGCGGGAGCTGTGGGCGCGGGACAGATGGCCAGAGGTGCAGAGATGTGGGGATGGGTGGCCGGACAGGGTGAGGAAGGCGGGCGAGGGAAGGTAGAGGGATGGAGGAAGACAAGCACCAGGGGAGCGAAAGGGTGTAGGAGCGGGCGATGCACGGGCCCAAAGTGAGCAGTCCCACAGGGCAGTGGACGGCGTCGGCGGGGGGACGGAGATATGCCCAGACGCGGCCGGAGGAGGATGGAAATGGTAACGCGCGGACGGGGAAAGGATCACGGTGAGCGAGAAGGCGGGAGGAGAGACTGCGAAGGTCGGCGGAGAGACCAGAGGGGTGAGCAGAAATAAAGGACGGGCAAAAACACCAGAAGCAAGACAGGATGTGGGGAGGAAGCATGCGGGGGAGCGAAGGAGGGAGGGCAGAGGGGGGCGGTGCGAGCGGCGGGCGTGGGAGATTGGGGGTGGGGGAGCGGTGAGGGCGGTGGGGCGGGTCAGTGGGGATGGGGGAGGGAATGGAAACACGTTCGGGGGGGGCGAGATGGGGAAGGGTAGAGAGAGGTGTGGGTGGGGGAAGAGAGGGAGATCGGGGTTGAGAATCGGCGCTGGCCTACTAGGCACGTGGAACCAGGGGGTGCAGGGCTTCTCAACCTGGGCTCCACTCTCTGGGCCGCGTTCTGCGTGCTGCCCGGTGCTGAGCACCAGCCACCATGTGCTGGGAGAATTCGTATTCTCCACATGCTGCCAGCCTAAGATACCTGCAGGCATTGCCAAACGTCCCCCTGGGGGCACAACTGTGCCCGGTGGAGAATGGCTTGCTTAGACCGGCATGGTGCTCAGCGGCCCCAAAGGCTTATTTCTCTTTTATTTAGGTCTGGTAATCCAGGGGTCTCTAGCTTCTGTCTCTCTCCCGCTCCCTTTCTCCCTCATCCGCCCTCTCTGTGTGTCTCTCACACACACGCGCGCGCGCACAGACACATGCACACACAGAGACACGCACACACAGACACACATGCACACACATGCAACACAGACACACACGCACACGTGCGCACACAGACGCGCGCGCGCGCGCGCACACACACACACACACACACACACACTTTCACAGTTGCGGGTCTGAAGGGTCTCAGCCCCCAGCAGGAGAGGCAGGGTGGCACAGCTCCACCAAGTGCCAGCTGCCTGACACTGCACAGGCTCTTACCTAAGTGTCCCGTGCCTCAGTTTTCCCATGTGTAAAATGGGGGTAAGGATGGTTATCAGGGGTGGTTACGAGGATGAGCGGGGTTAACCTGTGTAAGGAGCCCGGAGCAGCCGGGCCTGTTGCCGAGCGGCAGACTGCACACGGGCGCGCAGGTGTTTGCCGCAGCCGCTGTTGGCTGAGGGCGGCGCAGGGCCGGACGGGGCCGTGGCGCAGGTGCGGAGGGAGGGGCCGGAGGGGCGGGTCTGCCCGGCACAGATGCTGCGGGCCGCGTGGACTGAGCCCTGAGGATGCAGCGGTGACTAATCCACGGGGTCCCCGCCTCTATGGGGCTTACGTTCCAGCGACGGGAGAGGGCTAGTGCGCAGACAGAAGCCAGTGTGAAGCATGCGGAACACTGTTGTGAAGAAATATTAAATTTTGAAGGAAGTCATGGCTAAATGAAAGCAGCTTAAGGGGATGGGAGGGTGGATAGGACTAGTCCAATAAGCATCATCAGGTAGTACTTTTATGGTCCTTTCCATTGAGTGCATGCCTATCTGGGGACCACACTGTTACCCCCAGAAGTCGTACGGGCTGCGGTGGAGAGAGGGTCCTGGGAGCTGAGGCTCCCCACCCCTCAGCCAGCTGGTCCCCCTCCCACCTGGGGCCTCAACTCTCCTTTGAGCTTCAGCTCCGGGCCCTCCCTTGCACTCTGGGCTAGAACCCCCCACTCAGTGTTTCATAGGCATCTTAGAAGTGGCTTGGCCCACACTGTGGACAGCCGTTTTTGGTGGTTCCTCAAAAGTTAAACAGAGTTATCACATGACCCAGCAGTTCCACTCCTAAGAACTGAAAATGTATGTTCTCACAAAAACTTACACACGAATGTTCATAGCAGCACTATTCGTAATATCCCCAAAGTGGAGACCACCCAAAGGGCCATCAACAGAGGAACAGATAAACACAATGTGGTCTATGCAGAGAACGAAATATTACTTAGCCTTAAAGAAGGGAGCACTGATATGTTGCATCATGGATGAACCTCCAAACATCACGTGAAAGAAGCCAGACACAAAAGGTCATATACTGTATGATCCCATTTATCTGAAACATCCACAGTAGTCAAAGCTATAAAGCCAGACAACTGATTAGTGGTTGCCTGGAGCTGGGGGAGGGGAAGAATGGGGAGTGACTGCTTTGGGGTGATGAGCATATTCTGCATGAGACAGTTGTGACAGTTGCACAACACGATGAATGTCCTAAGTATCATTGAACTCAACACTTAAAAACAGTTTAAAAATAGCTAAAATGGTAAATTTTGAGTTAGGTGTATTTTACCACAATTTTAAGAAACAAACAAAAAACCACCAACATAGGTCAGATGACATCAAGCCCTCCCCTGCTGAAACTGTCCACTGGCTTCCTGTCACACCTGGGATAACATGAAAACCCTTGTCCCTTTCCACCTTCATGCCTTTCCAGGTCCCATGCCCAAGAGGGCCCCTTCTTCCTGCCTTTGCATCTGCTGCTCCTTTCGCCTGGGACCTCCCCTTGCTGCGGATATTGGTCTGCGCCCCCCACGCCTCCCCTCAGGTGCCCTCAGGGCCATCTCACTAACCTTCCCTGTGCTGTCCAAAGCAGTACCTCCCACTGCTCTGGTCCCCACACCTGCCTTCTGTGTTGTCATAGCTTCCATCTCTGCTTGCCACATCGTACGTGTAGGGACTTACTGTCTATCTCCCCCACTAGACCATAAACTCCATCGAGGCAGACTTTTTTGTCTGGCTTGTTCACCGTGGTGTCCACAGCACCCAGTATCAGTGCCTGACACAGGAGGTATTCCAGAAATATTTATTGCACGGATGAATGTTGAAAGGAAGTGTGAGAAGTGGGTCTTCTCTCTTTCCCTTTCTGTCTCTCTCTCTCTCTCTCTCATACACACTCACTTCAGATGAAAGCACTGAGGTTCCGAGAGGTCCCATCATTAGCCTAAGCCTTACAGTGCCCAAGCACTGGAGCTGGGCTCTGAACTCAGCTCTCAGGGCACTGCCACCTGTAGAACCTTTATCCCATGCAGAGAAACATGGGTTGACATGCATACAGACACACACCTTTCATCAGTGAATCCACATGCATGCAGTGATGTGGATTTCTTCATTCACTGAGGGCTGCCACATACGGTTGGGCAGTTTGGGCACTGCACAAGGAGATCTGGTTGAGAGGCTGGAATCCAGCCAGGCTCTCCTCCTTAAGGCGTACTGGTGGGACTGCATCCATCTGGGGGAAGGGGCACCCTTTAGAACTCACACAAAGTTGCCATCTGCCTGCCAAAGCATAGACACAGGGAAGCTACGTTGGGCCAGGGGGTACCTTTGTCTCATTTGCATAAAGCGCTGTATGGGCTAGCAGTTTGCCCACTCAGTCCCCATTCTGTGCCAAGCCTCCAGCTGAGCTCCACGGACACAATTCTTCCCTCTGCTAACAGAGTCCCATTGTCCCCTCCAACTGCACACACACGCACATGCCCGGGGAGACACAACTTCACACCATTGACAACTCTGGGGAGTGGGGGCTGTGGCACCTATCCCCTCAAACCCAGGGACGCACCCAGACACAATACACATGGCACATCTACCAGTGGAGGGAGCCATGGCCTCCTGCCCCCGCCTTACACCTCCTGAAGGGAGGAGGACACACACCTAGGGACACAGTGACCTGTCTAGGCACAAGGATATGGGGGGGACCGAGTCTTCCCTTGCCTCACACAAAACAACACAAAGACACACAACATTATATACACACAATGACAGAGAACACAGGACACCCACATAGTGTGCAGACACAACACACAAGGACACCCAATGTCATCCTGGTGGCGCACCTGTAGCCTCCTCCCAACACACATGCACACAGCTCCATGTGGACACACAGCTATGCACTTCTGGGCATTTCCACTCACAGTACACAAGACCGAGACACAATCTCAGACATTGTGACACACTGGGACCACACACAGCCCCAGAACACAACCAGGGACCTGCCTAAGCCACCTCTACATGGACACACAACCATGCACATCCCAGCCCACGGTCACGCATCCTCGTGGGTGCACACACACATATGTGCAAACACACCCTCACCCCGTGGTGGAGTCTGGAAGCACACATGTGACCCCCCCCCCACAGACACAGTCCTCCCGCAGCCCCTTACACACACAGGCACTTTCCTCCCCCACAGCTGTAGAGGAAGGGGGCCCCTCACCCCAGTCTCCTCCCTCCCGGCACCATGCGTGCTCAGTAGCAAAGGGCCAGGGCTGGGCCCCCGCCCTAGCACCAACCTAGGACCTGAGAGACGTACAGACAGAGGTCAGGGGAGCCAACTTGAGAAGGGTTTCCAGAGCAGGCCCCACTCGGTCCCTTGGGCTCCTGGGAACCTTACAGTACCTGCATAGCACTGGGCCCACCCTCCACAGCCTACCAGCGGGGGACGGGGGCTAGGGCTGGGTTGGCTGGGTGGGGCCAATGTATAGCAGCAGGGAATGAGAGATGGAGAGGAGGGCGGGGGACAGGGAGAGTTTGGGGAGGTTGGTGGAGGGAGAGGCCCAGAGAAAGGAGAGAGACCCAGGGAGAGGGGCACAGAGACCCAGAGAGAAGGGGTAAGAGACAGAGAGGGGGCAGAGACCCAGAGGGGGAGCGGGCTGGGGGGAAACAGATACAAGAGGGGCACAGATCCCAGAGAAGTGGGGTTCAGAGATTGAGAAGCCAAGAGAGAACGAGGGGGCGGGGAGGACAGAAACCCACAGAAGGGTAAGACCCAGAAAGAGAAGACCTAACCTCGGGAAACCGGGGGCTGGAGGGGGTTTGCAGGTGGCGGCGGAGGGGGGCTGAGGGTGCGCGGTGGGTATCGAGAGAGAGAGAGAGAGAGAGAGAGAGAGAGAGAGAGAGAGAGGCTGGGCACACGCAGAGTCCGGCTGGTGTACAAAGGGAGGGGATCCTAGGAATATCTGGGGTTGAGGTAGGGATGTGGAAAGCAGGCAGGAGGAGAGGATGTGGAGCAGAGGGAGAAAGGAGAGGGGTCCGGATGGGGGGCGGGGATCCCAGTACTGGGCACCCAGGCAGCGGGGACTCGGGGACGACGACCCTCCCCGAGGCGCTGCCGGCGGCCGCCCATCCCCAGGTCTTCCCGTGTCCTGCGCCTCTCTGACTCTGGGCGTCTGCATCTCCCTGCCCACCCCTCCTCCCGGACCCCGCCTCCCACTCGCCCGCAGGCGGCCTCGCGTCTCCAACGGGATCTGCCCTGGGTCACGGTCCTCCTAGCCTGTGTCTCTCTACATGTCTCATCGCTTCTCTGCGTCCCTGAGTCTCTGTCCACCTCTCCCCCCGCCCCCCACACGCTGTCCCGCTCTCTGAGTCTCTGTTTTCCGTGTCCGTTCTTCCCTCTGCCCCGTCTGTGTCCGTCTCTCTACATCCTCTCTGTGTCTCCCCCCACCCCCAACCCCCAACCCCCAACCCCCACATCCCCAACTCTCTTTACCTCTCTGACTCTGTCTCTGGCTCTGTGTCTCTTTCCCAGGTTTTCTATCTACAGATCTCTGCCCCTCTGAGAGCCTCCGTGGCTCCCATCACCCCACCCAGGACCCCAGTCTCTCCCTCCCTGGTCCCCCTACTCTCACTCAGGCCCGGGTTGGAGGGGCGGGGTGGGGGGGCGCTGCAGCGGGAGCTGTGTGTTCCCAGCGCAAAATAGCCTCCCGTTGCCATGGCGACGCGAGCGCGGCCTCCGAGACGCGAAGCATCAGGCTTGGGGGTGAGGAGGGGGGACACCTGGATCCGGAAGGCGGGGGCCGGGGGGGCGCCGACGCCAGTCCCGGGGGCTCCTGGAGGAGGGGGGAGGATAGGACTCGTAGGTCCCTGGGGAGAGGGGGGTGCTGGGCGCTCTGACGCCGGGTTCCGGGGACCGGGCCTTCTGGGAGGGTGGGATTCCAGGATTGGCGGGGGTGGGTGGGGGGACTCAGATTCCCCAGTGGGGGGCGGGCTAGTTGGAAGCTCTGACGCCTGGGTCTCTGGGGGATTCAGAGGTTGGCTTCTTAGGTCTCCAAGGTTGGGGGGGCGGGGAGCAAGGACTGCGAATCTCAAGGGGCTGAGGGGCCTTGCCTGGGGACTCCGTAGAGTCCGGGCCCCCAGATCTTCACGGGGGCTGCAGAATTCTGAGAGCCCCCATGTGGATCCCCAGGCTCCTGCGTCTTAGGGGAACAGGAACCACTCAGATGAAGCCGTCTGTCCTTCCCAGCCATTCATCCATTCATCCGCATGCCGGTCTCTTCCTCCCGTCCCCATGTCCCCAGTGCCTTAGTTTCCCCCTCCGCACCGGGGTGCGGTCGCGCTCACCTCACTTTCCGGATTCGGGACCCTTGGGGAGTCGGGGGTGGCGGCGTGGGGGGCCGGCCGGGGAGGCAGAGCGAGCGCGTGTCTGCGAGCCAACAGGCTGGGCGTGTGCGCGCGCTGGTAGGGGGCGGCCGGCAGCGTGTGGGGCGTGCGACCCGGCCCGCAGCTCCCGTCCGTGCAGATGCGCGCCGGCTTCGTTGCAGATGTGGCCGCCGCCAGCCTGCCTTCGCCTCGTGCCGGCTGGGAGCCGAGAAGAGGCACCTCCCCCTCCCCACCTGCTGGGACCCCTCTTCCCCCAACCCGCGGCCCCCACTCGCCCCCGGGACACCCCCAAGTCCAAGAATGGTTCGGTCCACAGCCACATCAATGTTTATTCTGCAAGTCCGCGTTCCACAGCCTGTGATACTCCCTCCCCCGCCCCTCCCCGCCTCGTGAAGTGGCCCGGGGCCGAGCCCCGCCCCCAGCTCTGCTCAGCCAACTGCCGCACAGCTTCCTGGAGTCTCATTTGCATTTCCGGCGCTCTGGCCCAATGGCAAGGTGGCGCTCCACCTCCCCTCCGGGGGGGGGGGGTGGTACTCCCTGTGGACTGCACCACTCTTGGGAGCCAAGGATGGGGGTGAAATGATTTCACAGAGGTCCCAATGACAGGAGGGTGGTCTTCAGGGTGAGCAGTTCAGCGGAAGAGGGGGTTCTGGCCTTGGAAGAGGCTCAGCAGCCCGCTGTCCGGGGCAGGCTCTTTGATGATCTTCTGGATCTGTAAGGGTAAGAGGAGGGTTCAGGAAGAGTCAAGAGTCCCCATTTCTAGGACAGATTTGGAGGGGCACTTCTCCATTTTCATCTGCCTGCCCTCTTGGCAGCAACTGGCTAAGCCAACCATTCCCTCTTCTTGAAACTTCTCCTTGGGCCTCCCTTTCACGATGGCTGCCTGGGTTGGCTCCTGATCACCTGCCATCTTGGTCCACTTTGCTGGCTTGTACCAAGGCCCTGTCCTGGAGCTTCTTGTCTATACCGGCTCCTGCTTAAGTAATCTCACCTCTCCCATCCCCCTCAACTCCCAAATCCAGCCCATGCCTTGCCCCTCGACTCCAGACTCATTGATCCAACTGCCTCTTAGATGTGGGTCACCACCTGACCTCCCACACCGACGGTCAGTAGACCACAGATGCTCAACCCCCTCTCTGGGGCCGCCTTCTCCCAAGGCCCCACACTGCACCCATCAGCATGCCTCACTGCGCTTGCCTCCAGAAAAATCAGCAGAGTCTGCATCCCCACTGCCTCCACTCTTGTCTCCCTCCTTCCGGCCACCAGCCCACATCCATGGGCCACCCAGAACCAATCTGCAGATCAGACCATGGCCAGCTCCCTTGTGCAAAACCCTCAAATCCTTGAGAAGACGGGGCTCTGGCTCCTCTCTGCCCGCCCTCCTATATTCACCGAGAGCTCACCATGCCTTGCTACGGTGCTTTGAATAAGGCAAGTTCAGTCCCGTGTCCAGGCCTTTGCCCTAGCTGTTCCTTCTGCCATGAACACTTTTTGGATGACTGGCTGCTCGTCCTATTTCAGGTCTCTGCTTCAAGGCCACCCCTGGGGAAGGACCTCTCTGCTGTAAGCCCCCATCTTATTCCTCGCACACTCTGAACATCCCTTTCTAGCTTCTGGCCACAATGTGTAACTGAATACAGACTGGCTTTTGCTGTTGCCCCAGGACCTGCCACAGTGGTTGGGCCACAGTAGGTGCTTAGCAAATGTTCAACAGAATGGAACTAAGAGGAGGGAAAGGGGCGGACCTCGGAGGGCTGGGCACCTCCTGCCACCCTGAGGGCCAGTGGTGGTGGCTGCAGGGCCTGGAGGAAGGAACAGAGAGGGTCACAGGGCTCCCATCTACGGGGCCTCTGCCAGACTGTTCTTGCCTGTCTACCTGGCTGCCTCCCGTACCTCTCCCCGGGAGGCCTCCCACACCACCCCGAGCAACCCCCCTCCTCTGCACCCCAGCCCTCCCAGCCCCCTCCCCTGCTTTCTCTCTCTCCTATCCTTACAGCCATGGACAGCTTCTCTTACAGAACTTAGAACTTTGCCCACTGGAGGCGGCAGCCTGCTGTGTTCCCAGATGGATTCTGTCAACCAATAGGTGGTGGGTGCTGGAAAGGGAGGCAAAGGTAGGGGTGTGGGGCCAGTACCTCCTTAAACTGGGGGTGGGCGGCATCACCCACAAGCTGCAGAATCAGCCCTTCACTGGTAGAGAGGAAGGCACCACTCTGCCGCATCCGGGCCAGCGCCACCAGCCTGTCCACCTGGCTGGGTTGTGGGGGGGGGTTTGTTGATGCCTCGGCCTGGACACCCAGACCCCTGGCAAGCTCAGCAGGGATCCCACTCCCTGGTTCTTCCTGGCCACCCCATCTGTACCCCACATGCACCACCGCCCTCAGCAGGACCTGCTCACCTGCGAGAAGAGCAGGCGTCCACTACCACATGCACCTGCAGCCCACGGTCCAGGAGGTCCAAAGTGGTGTTCTGGGGGCACAGACAAGGACGGGGGTCGGGGGTGAGGGGCTGGGGAGCTGGGGTGGGACGAGGGAGGCTCCGATCAGGCGGGAGGGCCCCCGGGTTACAACAGGATCCTAGGGCAGGATGGGAGCACCAGGCAGAGAGGGGTCCAGAGTAAGGATGAAGGTCCCAGGTCAGGAATGGGGTCCTGCCAGGATGGAGGGCTCTGGGTCAGGGAAGATGCAGTGATGGGGGGTCTCACCAGGATGCAGGCCTGTGTCTCAATGCCACAGAGGAGCACAGAACGCAGCTGGGGCCGGGTGTCCAGCTCCTGTAGCACCACAGGCACCATGCTGAAGCAAGTTTTGGCCACCGGTCGCAGGCCTTCAGCCCCCAGCTCAGGCACTGTGGGGCCCAGGCCTGCTGGGTACTGCTCTGTCAGCACAGCGGGTACCCCCAGCAGCCTGGCCACCTGTGCCAGGGGAGGGGACAAAGGCCTGAGCCTGAGGGAGGGGCCTGTGCGGCCAGACTCCTGGGTCTGAGGGAGGAGGGCTGGGGATCTGGACTCCCGGGTCTGAGGGAGGAAGGGGCTGGGGGCCTGGACTCCTGAGTCTGAGGGAGGAGGGGCTGGGGGCCTGGACTCCTGGGTCTGAGGGAGGAGGGGGCTGTGGGCCTGGACTCCTGGGTCTGAGGGAGGAAGGGGCTGGGGGTCTGGACTCCCGGGTCTGAGGGAGGAAGGGGCTGGGGGCCTGGACTCCTGGGTGTGAGGGAGGAGGGGGCTGGGGCCTGGACTCCTGGGTCTGAGGGAGGAGGGGCTGGGGGCCTGGACTCCTGGGTGTGAGGGAGGAGGGGGCTGTGGGCCTGGACTCCTGGGTCTGAGGGAGGAGGGGCTGGGGGCCTGGACTCCCGGGTCTGAGGGAGGAGGAGGCTGTGGGCCTGGACTCCTGGGTCTGAGGGAGGAGGGGCTGGGGGCCCGGACTCCTGGGTCTGAGGGAGGAGGGACTGCGGGCCTGGACTCCTGGGTCTGAGGGAGGAGGGGCTGGGGGCCCGGACTCCTGGGTCTGAGGGAGGAGGGGGCTGGGGGCCCGATACCTGGTCTGAGGGTCGAGGGGCTGTACCTTGAGCATGCGGGCGGCCACAGAGACAATCTCGGGGAAGTATGCAATATGTCGGAACTTCTCCTGCATGTCACACAGGAATAGGATGGATGATCCGGGGAGCACTCGGCCCAGGCTGGGCTTCGCAGCCGCCATGATCTGGGGATGGGCGGAGGTGCTGAGTGGGGAGGGTCAGATGGGCAAGGGGCTTCTTTGCACATCCAGGGTCCATGCACCTAGACCCTTGAGGGTCCTACACGGTGCTTTGGAAACCATTGTGCTCCCACCCTCAGGCCTTTGTGTCTGCAGTTCCCTGGGGCCTGGTATCCATTTCTTTCTTAACATGTCCTACTCAGCTGGGACATCACTTTCCCCCAGAAGTCTTCTCTGACCTTGACCACCCTGGTGCTCCCAGCCTCACTCTCCCAGGGCCCTGGGAAGCCTTTTCCTTCCGTCAAGGTCACCCTCTCTCCTGCCACACTCCAGGCTCCAACTGTGATCCTCACCCTCAGGGTGAGGTGTGAAGTGACCCACCCAAGGGCCCAAGCAGCGAATGGAACAGATGTGGCTCCTGAGGAAAAAAAGAGACTGGGTGGAGTGGCGGTGCTGACTTCCTTCAAGTCAGACCCCCCCCCAACTCAGCCTCTGAAACTCAGTTACCCATGTGTGCAATGCACGGGCTGCATGTCCCTATGGTTCCTAGACAGAAAGGTGGGGGTACCTACACAGGGGACTGTTATCCACCTGTAGAAAGGAATGAAGTGCTGCTACGTGCTGCATCATGGATGAACCTCAGAATCGCTGTGCTCAGTGACAGAGGCCAGTGACTGAAGGCCCCCCGCTGTGGGAGCCCTTGTATATGAACTGCTGCCCACAGGGATCAAGTCCAGAGGCAGGAAGCAGCTGGTGGCTGCCAGGGGCTGGGGCGGGGGAGCGGTGGAGAGACGAGAACTGACCGCCTAATGCGTGCAGAGTTCCCGTCTGGGGTGATGAACACATTCTGGAACTAGATGGTGGCCACGGTTACGCAAAGTCATGAATGTTTGTAACGGCCACTTCATGGTACGCTTAAGAATGGTTGAAATGGTAAATTTCATTATGTGTACTTTAGCACGGTTTAAAAAAAAAGAGAGAGAGAGAAAGAAGGGGCGGGGCTGGTGGAGCCACCTGCCCAGCAGCCCTTTTACGGGGAGGCCACTGAGACCCAGAGGGGTCCATGACTTGCCCGAGGTCCTGCAGGACTAGAGGACAGCCAGCCTCCCAGTCAGAGCGGCTCCATCTCCCGCACCTGGGGCCCTGAGTTTCAGCATGTCCCAGCCCATGTCCCCAGGAGGTCTGAGTCCTTGGGTCCCCAAGTTGCTGCACAGCTCTCATCCCCTCTGCGTGCTCACTCAGTAACTCTTTAATTTATCTGGGACATGGGAGACCCTGCGCACCTAGCGGAAGGCCAAAGGGTTAACACGGGGGAGGTGTTTATGGGGATTCTCTCAGATGAACAGGTCTACCGTAGAAAATGTTTTCTATGGGCAACATATCTGAAATATAAAAAAGGATGGATGGTTAGAAGGGGGAGTTTTATGCTATGTGAATTTTATCTAAAAACAAAATGGCACGGAAGCTCCCACAAAAACAAAACCACACAATGAATTAATCACATAATTACAACTGTGATCAGTGCTGGGATTTCTAGGGAACCTGATCTATCTTGGCAGAGTGCAAAATTCTTCCCAAGGAAGTGGCCAGAGAGAGAGAGAGAGAGAGAGAGAAAATCTGAAAACCCAAAGCGGACTCTGTCACTCCCCCGTCTCAGCCCCCACCCTCCTGCATGGCTTCTCTCTGTCCTCAGGACTAAAACATAACCCCCTCCCACAAGGCGCTGTGGACCATTCCAGCCTTGGCCAGTCATGTTGCATCTCAAGGCCTTTTGCCGGTGGTCCCTCCAGCTGGGGTGCTCTTCTCACTTCTACTCTTTTGAGTCTTCAGGAGACAGGAGGGTCAAGGTCAGATCAGGGCTCTAATGGCTGCAAGCCTACGACATGTGTCTGGAGCAACAAGGATCTCCCCTGCACACTGGTAGGAGTGTGGATTGCAACAACTCTTAGGGAAGCACGTGGCACCACATTTCTCAGAATTAGAGTTATGTGAACCCTGTGACCCAGAAAACTCGCTCCTGAGTGTTTGCCCTGCAGACATCCATGTGAGACATGAGGTTATTCACTACCAGGCCTAGGTTACTCATTATGGGACTCTTCCACGGAGCAAAGGAATAGAAATCAATGTAAACATCTACGGTTGGGCAGCCCTGCAGCCGTCACCTGAGTTACGGTATGTCTATACTATGGAATTCTTTGCAGCCAGGAAGAATGACAAGGATGCTCTTTAAGTAACAATATGGAAAATTGTCCAAGAGGGGTAACAGTGAAATGAAGCAGAACAGTGTATATAGCAATGCTCCCATCTGTGCCCCGATCAGGAGAGAACAAGCCAGTGCAGCCCTCCTCTCTATACGGAGCAGGTACTTCAGGCCAGGGAGCAGGTCACTGAGGGACCGGGTGTGAAGGAGACTTGATTTTAACTGTGTACTGTTCTGTTCCTTTTGAATTTTGGACAATGTGTGATCGGTTGTCCGGTCCGTAATAACTACAATACAATAAAATATTTACATGAGGTGAGAACCCAGCAAAACCAATCTGTGGTGGTGAAGTTATGAATGAATGAATGAATCAACGAATGAATGGTTATCCTTGGGTGGCAGTGAAGAACAGGGTCCAAGGGGGGCTCTTCTGGGATGTGGGGGATGTCCTACTTCTGGCTGGATTCGGATGCTGTTTACACCAGAGTGTTTGCTATGTGAAACGTTATTTGAGCTATGTACTTGTGATTTGTATGGTTTTCCTGCATATGCAGTGTATCTCCATAAAAAGTTTTCAAAATATCAGATAAAATGGGGGAGGCCTCGCTGGCCTCTGTGGGGCTGGACTGGAGGTGGAGGCCAGGAAGAAAACCAGGGCTGGGGGTCCAGGTGGGCAAGGGTGAGGCCTGGGCTCTAGTTAAAGCAGAGAGGGCAGAGAGATTCAGGGGGCAGGGCTGTGGGGGAGGGGAGAAGGAGGAAGATCTTCAGGGTTCTGGTTCATGGGTGGCAAGTCCCAGGGACTAACTGGGGACCTGGAGAGGGGAATTGGTGTGGGGAAGAAGATGAAAAATTGAGGGCGGGGAGTGTGTGTGTGTGCACGCATATGGGGAGGTCTGGGCTGGAGACCCATTTGCGGGTGCCGTGGAGAAGGTACAGAATTGAGCTCTGGGTGGAGGGAGTCCAAGGCGGGAGGAGGAGGGGCAGCAGGGGGAGGGGGGTGCTGCTTAGATCCCCACGGGGCCTGGGGGGTGGGCAACCCTGCAGCCGGCATTTCCTGGCTGTGTGACCCTTCGCAAGTTTCATGCTCTGTCTGAGCCTGAAAATAGGGGTCAAACTCACCCACCCCATAGGGATGAGGCAAAACTCGGCCGGGGATGCAGAGAGGGCGGGCGCGACCCGTGGAGGCCTCGAGTCCCTGGCCAGCCAATTCTGTAGGGCCTGGGCAGGACTGCTCCCCTTGGCCGTGTCACCTCGGCCTGGACCGCCTGGCAAAGCCTCCGTTTCCCCACCTGCAAGGCGGGGAGATCGGTCCCCCTGCAGCCCTGGGGGAGGGGGGGCTTACCCGGAAGGCGCCGGGCTCCAGACTGTCCCGCTCCTTCGCTGGAGAGGCCTGGGGGACACTCGCCTCTCAAGGCCCGGACTTAAGCCGCTCAGTTCCTCCGGCCGGGTTCCAAGGCTAGGTCACCGTTTTTGTAGGGTCGCCACACGTGGCCCGCCCCCGCGCCATCGGCGTCCTCCCATCCAGGCCGAGCCGCCCAATCGACGCTCGCCAAGCTCTGCCCCGCCCTTGCGGCCGGCCAATCCACAGGCGAGGCTGTTTCGCCCTCCGTGGAGGGGCGGTGCCGGGCACGCGGTCCATGTTGAGAGCGTGATTGGCCCGCCGGGGGGAGGGGGCGGGAAGGCAGCACCTCCGACCAATGGGGAGCCGGGAAGGGCGTGAATGGCGGGCCCGGGGCGGAGCGGCGCCGTGGGTGCGGAGAACGCGAACTCCAGCTGGGCAGGTGGGTAGCGGCCACCCGCATTGTCTATACAAGACCTTTGAGGCCGAGAAATGAGGGAGGGAGGGGCGTAGCCAGGGCGGAGGCAGGCCTGGGGTTCGAACGTTGGCCCTTGGGCCTAGAAACAGAAACTTATCAAGAGACCCAAGCACTTTCCAGGAAAGGGGACTTAAGTCCTCCCAACCCCACTCAGCCTCAGTTTCCCCATCTGTACAGCACCTGCCTCCTAGGGTGCTGTTTGGTTGTTTGTTTTGCGTGGTGTTTGTAATATTTAGACTCTGTGCTTGGAAATGGGGCTGAGAAAGAGTTGGGGAGAGAATTTCCTCATCAGTCTTGGAATAAAATCCAAACTACTCCCAGTTCATGTTTGCCTCTGTCAACCTCCCTGACCTCCTCTCTTACCACTTGCCCTGCTCACACTGCTCCAGCCGCCTCGGAGTCTTTGCACGTCCTGTTTCCTCAGCCTGGAGCCCCAGACCTTCGCTTAGACGGCTCCTTGTCATTCAAGGCTTTCCCTGACCATCTGATGTCAAACAGCCACTCAGTCAAGTCTCTGTTTTATTTTCTTCACAGCACTAATTTCAATCTGAAATTGGAAATTTATCTTGCGTTTAAGAAATGTACGAATGTACCCTTTGTCAATCCCCCCCACCCCCTTAAATGCACACATCTTGTCTGTGTATTCACTCCTGAATCCTCAGCCTCTAGATGGGGCCTGACACATAGTAGGCCCTCGGTACATATTTGGGAATAAATGAGACAAGACCAGACATTAGGCAGAAATTAGCCAAGGTGAGAGGAGCCTGGAGCGGCAGACACCGAGGAGATGGGGCTGGGAAGAAAGAAGGGAGAAGGTGGGGGGGCAGAGTGCAAGGGGGCACCCCTGGCAGAGGCAGAGGTGGGGGACCTGGCCCAGGAGAAGACGTGGTCTGAGGTGGGAGGAGTCTGGGCTTGGTTCATGTTCCCAGGGGTTGCCAGGAGGGGAGTGGACAGGACAGGGGGCTCCTGGGGGTGGCTGCTGAGCTA